CTGTCAATGGAACTGAAGAACGGCAGACCATTATGCGCCTACTTCGAATAATAAAGGTAAATGAAGGAAGCTCAATTATTTATATCCATAATATACATATCTGAAATATTTACTTTTGTAAACTTTTATGTAAAAAAATGGACCAGTTTTATTCCTATCATAAATAAGAGTTGTCGATTAAATAAAAGTTGTTTATTGATCTAAACAAACCCAGATATGTTCCTTTTTTCTGGTTTGTCGACAAACCATACTAGGTAAACAACTTCATCATCTTTGGAATAGCTTTTCACATTGCTTATATATATATATATATATATATATATATATATATATATATATATATATATATATATATATATATATATATATATATATATATATATATATATATATATATATATATATATATATATATATATTATTTATAAATATATATATATAAATATATATATATATATATATATATATATATATATATATATATATATATATATATATATATATATATATATATATATATATATATATATATATATTGAAGAAATTTAATGTTTCATTTAATCACTCAAAATATTTCAGCATTCTTACAAGTATTGTCTGAAGATCTCTTGCCAACAGTTAGATGCGATGAAAAAGTCATTTGAGAAGGATATGATCGTTCCAGTGGCCGATAAAGTAGGTATTCTGATGTCATCACAATATGTGAATTTTTTCATATGCACTATAGTTAGTATTCTTTGTTCAATATTAGCATTTTTATTTCCATTAATCATACACGTATGGTATTACAATGCTCAGAATCGATATGATTTTGCGATAATTTTTATGTAAAGTAGAAATGCCAGAAATTTGGTACAAATGAGCATTGGACATATATTTCGATCATATTTGAGTGACTCACTGAATGTATCAATGATGACTGGTAAGTAGAGCATTTATTTCTTTAACTTGTTTCAGGCAAAATTGACGGCAGCGATGCCAGAATCAAATAAAGAGCTGGATGAAGTATTTTACTTAATAACAGAATCAAGAAAGAGAGCTGGTGCCCTTTCTCTTCCACATATTAAACAGGTCATACACGATATTGCACTATGTCAGAAACCATGATGGTGATTTAAGTACGTACAAGTTCACTTTTCCATTAACTTAGAATGCTGCCCAACGTCATCTTCCAATAAAGGTCCAAATTAAGATAACGTAAGTAAATGTCTGTAATTATATGACAAATGTTGGCAGGAGAACTGACTAGTAAATATCTCCCTATATCTTCACCATACGAAAAAGGATAAATTGCTCCTTTTGAATGTTCTAGTATCAGCTACCGAAATAATTAAAGTGGAACAGTGTTTGTATGCCATGAATTACTACCTTTGGACATAGAGAAATGCAGCATTCAACGAGAAATCAAATAAATAGATCTTTTTAACGCAACTCAAGCACATTTGAAATTTTGACGGAGTGTGAAATGCCGTGATAAATACTGTAAATTAAATATTTCCTTTCATTTGCATGTTTCAGACATTTGTTGAAATGGTACATACGGAGCTTGGGATACGCATGAAAGAGGAAAGTTCTTTGGGACTCTACGTGAATAGATGTGTAGAACTGTGTTGGTTTATGTGTATGCAGGAACCTCCTATGTACATGGAATGGTGTTCTAATGGGGACCATAACAGTGGAGATTTTAGGAGCTATACACGATCTGGTAGCACTGTGGACTTTTGTGTGTGGCCATGTGTACGCCAGTATGAAAAAGGCCCCCTCATGGCGAAGGGAGTTGCGCAAATGCAATAGGACTCTGTTTACCTCAGTTTCTATTTACCATAGTAATGAAGGACCAAAGCAGTTAATGATGTCTCTGTGAGGAAATAAATTTTGTGTTTATCTTGCACTCAGCTAAATTTCCTTTGAGTGATATTGAAAGTGAAATTTTATTGCTTAAGATATTTCACTCATTTTATGAGGATTTCGTGATAATATTCACGTTGCCTACTAATGGTCCAAAATCAAGTGTTTGTCTTGTTCATTAATTTGCTAATAATTAGCTTAAAGACGGGTGCATTATTGCGAATGCTCGCCATTGCTATAAGATTCGTAAATTCGACGAAGCAAATTATTGTTGAAGGACTTCTGTGTTTGCTTCAAAGGTGTCGCTATTATGTTCCCTAAAATCGAGGGAAATATCAGATGACCATGTACTGGCTAATGAATGGGCTTGTTTAGTATTCACTCCGCGCATTTGTAACTATTCCAGTGGATAACACCTGTACAGTGAAGTTAAAATATGTAGGTTTTCATTAAATGTGACCTAAAAGATTTTGTCTTTTTTTTAGTTAATTTTATATCATAGTATATGTTTCTACTTCACATCCTTTTTAAGTTGTTTCAGTTATAGTGTAATATTATATACATATGAAATGTATACAGTCTTCTCGACTAACTAATTTTCATATCTTTTTAAAAAAAATTTCATATGTGAAAAATATATCGTTATAATTTTACATTCGAAAATATAAGATTTCCCTTCATTCCATACGATGGATTTCAAAGACAAACCGGCTGTGATGCATTGCTGAATCAGACTTCCATTGTTTTCAGAAAAGATCAAATAGTTTACAAAATGACACCAAACAAACTAAGCAATTTGCTTTGACAGATTAGGTCAACCCAATCCAACCTGTCTTGTGTCACATATTTATATGATCAGGCGATGAACGTGAGATGAATTTACAAAATGGGGGTGGGGTGTTGTACTGAAGAGTTTGCTTAATCTTCTAAACTTTGATTCTGGGGCAAGTTTGACATCTAAGAAAAAGAAAATCTTTCTTTCCTACCTTAATACTCGATTTATTTTATCTTGGTACCACACGATGAAATATATCCGGTAATAATGTAGGAAAAGAAAATATCTTCTCTTTGTTATAAACATTTAGAATTATTATTCATACAGGATTAATTAGGGTTATAATGTTTTCTATGCTATTACTTGGGGAAAATCTGCTTGCACGTAATTATATAGGTAATTCCTTAAGTGCGGTGTAAGCAATTTACTTTTTGCGCTTTGTCTACTGAAACATGTCCTATAAATGTTTGCTGTAACGAAACCAGATCTTCAGTATTTATGCATTCCCGATGAAATATTTAGGTACTGCATTTTATTATACATTTCATAGTGATATCACGATGCTGGCATAGCGATGCTATCATTTTTATCGCTACAGTTTCGATATCGCTTTTGGAAGTACTTTCTTTTAATTTTAATGACGCATCTAACCTAATGCGTTTTTATTCAAATCTGTGTTTCCGTATGCCTATTTGATCTTTGTTCTGTTTCTCTTCTCTCATCATGTTGAACAGACCCTAAAACATATGAATACGGTAGACCCTCTAGTATTTATTTATGTAATCAATAAGGAAGAGCCATTAAAACATACCTAAAGTTAACTCCAGATACGAAAAGTAAGGCTTCATTGATTAGCTTGCTTTAATTAGTTTCACATGAATTCTGCATATCATTAAGGACTGAATTTGTATGAACCATTGGATATTCTGTGTCACCCATATCATATCGTACATTTTACACACTACAACAAAGGGACACATTTTCATAAAACCCCCTTCATTGAATATAGTAATACAAATATTTAATTAGCGATTTCAACTCGCAATACAGTGAGACTGATACCTGAAAACGATCGTGAAATCATTCATCAATTAGCATTGATTGTAAATGGAAATTAAGTGGCAGTCTCAAAATTGGGGTGCAGCGTCTGTTATCAAACGCAACTACAAGGGTGTCAAGGTCAAAGTTCATATTTGAATACAGAAATAAGCAAAAGAAATGTACATTCATGTAAATTAACAATCATTAAGATAGGATAATGCGGTCATTAATCTGATTGGCACAGAATGGAGAAAGTTATCTATGCAGAGCTATGTTTTTGCATTCAAAATATATACTGCAAAGACAAATCTGATTTATGAGTAGATATAAGGAACTTCTTAGCTTGTGAAGTTGAAACCCTCTTGACAATACAATCTCTCGCACTTCACTTCACTCGTGAGATATTTATATCAACTACAAAAGTTTTAAACATTCTCTATATGTTCCCATGTCTTTTCTTGTTTAGTTAATCTTTTTCATGATGATTGTGCAGCACATTCTAACACCGTCTTACGTAGGACAAATATATAAGTGCTGTGTTGAATTTTGTAGAGAAAATATTTATTGTCGTCTCGATAATGCATTCCAGATGAACTAATTTAAGACCAATGCCTTTTTGAGACTTCATCTATTATCACTTGGATCATGTTTGTTGATTCATTTGTTGTTGTTTTTTTTCAGATGAATGTCGTTATGTCATATTTTTCTTTATATCATTCGTTGTATCTTTCTTTGCAGCAACTTTAATTGCATCTTATTTTTCTTTGTAGCATTCTTTGTATCGTGTGCATATTTGATTAGCAAACTGAGTTACATTCCTTGATCGATTTTGCCTCGCAATTTGTCATAGCACTAAAAAAGTAATTGCTGGTTTTTGTGTGACAGTTATATGTAAGAATTCGCTATTATATTAGCATGCTTTTGATATTAAGCTATCCCTAATCAATCTGGTCAAATAATGTGTTGACGAACGGTGTAGAAATAAACTGACATTTGCAATAAATAAATACCAGCATTTCTCCCTTTCCGTCCAACCATCATCGTCTTTGAGGTTTTGGTTTGTTTTGCTTGCTGTTGTTTTTTTTTGTTTTGTTTCATTTTTTTATTTCTAACGTGGCTGTAACACTTTTTCAGTCATATAGTTACGGAGTTACGGTGTCTGCAGTGTGGCAGTTTATAATAAAGTCTAGCATTGGGGCATCATGCCGCAGATATGCAGCATCATATCCCACCCAGTCACATTATCCAGACACCAGGCCGACCAGTCCTAACACTAACCTCTTAATGCTGAGTGCCAAGCGAGGCAGCTCCATGTGCCATTTTTAAGTCTCTGGTATGACTCGGCAGGGATACGAACCCGCGACCTCTCGCATCCGAGGCGAACGCTTTGACCATTAGGCCACCGGAGTGGTCTTTGGGTTTTGGTATTGGCGTAGGTGTTATACTTGTCAGTATCGTTCTTTCGGTGGCATTATTTTCCTTGACAAAACATCATATCGTATGACAGATTGGTCCGTTATGGCACTATTATTCAGATTTTGCTTAGACGTGTCAAGTGTTAAAATCAAAACCTTCTTTGTATCTACATTGATCAACATCTCAGCTGGAATACAGATGTTGATCAAATATGGGCAATGGTAATCAGATAATAACTCTATTAAAGTGACTATCGATGTTTCTACCTCCACAGTCACTTGAATAGAATTTTTGGGGATGCGTACTACCACTGTTAGACTATAGCTGTACTATATGCTGAAATACATCGAATTCTAATCTATCCCGAATTTACAAAATTCAGCAATAGGGCCGCCTATTAATTCCGAAACTTCCTATTACATCCCTCTATAATGTTTCGTTTTCAGGTCTACAGTGGCTACCTATACAAAAAACTTATTCTTTGTTTCCAAAGGAATCATGAAATATAAGTCTTCAGACGACGAGTTTCTATATTCTACCTCTTACCTAACCGAATAAAGATCATAGATTACTGAGCGTAATCTCCGATCGACGACTAACAACAATTTCCAAATTCCTTGGTCGAAAACCAGCTTTTCAAAAGTTCATTCACTTATCAGCACTTATATTTTAGAATTTGTTAGCCATATATATGCAATTCAAATTCCCTTGCTTTGTTTGAAACCTCATTAAAGAAGCTCTTCCTGACCAGTTGGATTGATGTCCTAAATCATCCCAAAAGAGAATTCTATAATTATGTCCTGAAGTAGCATGTGCATGTTTTATTCGATGTATGTATAATATGACTTCTGACATGCAGAACTGTGCATACCTGTGTAAAATATAGTGTTCATATATGTGTCTGTTGACCACGATAGATACACATATCAATTCTTTTTAAATCTGTAGGAGTACATGTGCGAGGATACTTGATTGTGTGTTAGTTACATTAAAAAAAAACATGTTTATAACATATCCTGTTACAAAACCACGAAGCACATGGCAGATGGGTCTTTCATGACTGAATGTGTTAACCTTATTAAATAAAGTTGTTTATCACCACCATCATCATCATCACTTGGTGGCCTATTGGTTAGAGCGTCCGCCTCGGATGCGGGAGGTCGTGGGTTCGATCCCCGGTCGAGTCATACAAAAGACTTACAAAAATGGTACTAACAGCTGCCTCGCTTGACGCTCAGCTTTAAGAGGCTGGTGTTAGGACTGGTCGGCCTGGTGTCAGGATAATGTGACTGGGTGGGACATCATACGACATGTCTGCGCCATGATGGCATAGTGCTAAACATCACTGTAAACTGCCACACTGCAGACATCGTAGCGATATGACTGAAAAATTGTTAAAGCTACATTAAAAAGAAAAACACCACAACACACCTTGATGTCAACGGCAAATTAGCCAACTCTGCAACAACAGTAATTAATATATTGATATCTGAAACATCTCAGTTACAATTCGATGGATGAAGTGTTGTAGGTGATGTCATTTATATGCAAGACAACAACATTAACATTAGTAGTACCAGTAGTATTAGTAATTACATTTCTAACGTATTAAAAATATGGCATTTACACAGGTAATCATGAAAAAATTTCACACTATTACATAAATATTGGTCTGTATACGGATAGCCACTCTGTACCATCGTCGCTCAGCAAGCGTCTCTACTGTCGGGCTATGTACTATACAATTGTGGATATTATCCATTCGACGAACCACTAAGTGGTCACACCTTTATGTTAAGAGAAGCAAGACAATTCCAACAAGTGGTTCCATTATTTTTTTTTTATTTTTTTTTTGTTTTTTTTCAAGATTCACTTGATTGTAATTTAAGTCATCACAATTCTTCTAAGAAGAAATTTGCAAATATGTGTGTTTCCAAAGTGTAAAATTGCCCATGCTTTTTGAAGCACTTAAATTGTCGAATATTTAGTTGCGGAGGTGTGTATGTTTGCTGGTTGTTAAGCTCTTCAAGTAAATCTTGCATGCAGACCGCATTTCCATAATACCTAAACAAACGTGATCGGTTTTGAAAAAGTTTGACGGATAACTGGCAGTCCCAGTACTTCCGTTGTTTCTCAATTGAAACGTAACTAACATTCTTCCAGTACTAATATCCATTACAATTACATAAAGAAAGAATGGTCTTCATGTAATATTACTAATTCTGAAATAATTCTGAATGACTGAATAACCTAAAGCAGTGTCCATTTTCCAGATGATGTTAGTAGAGTAGCACCTTATTTCGATAAGTTTTGAAATAATGACTGACTGTTGTTTTTGTTGTTGTTGTTGTTGTTGTTGTTGTTGTTGTGGGGCTTAACGCCATTTTTCAGCACACGATAGGCTATACATGGCGGCCAGTATTAATGGTGGAGGAAGAAACCGGGAAATCCGGGGAAAGAATCACCGACCCACGAGAAGCTACTGGCAAGCTTTCTCACATATCCACTTTCGCAGATTGTAGTATAGGTTTATCAAGATATCAAATTTAAAAGAAAGAAACGATAGTATTTGGCTTTTGTAGAGTATATTGAAATTCATAGTTGTTGAGGGACAGGACCTGAGAATTTGAAAAGAATACTATAATATTGATTTGGATTGTAAAAGAAACATGGCTCAATCAATAATTCATATCCTGAACATAATAGAACGTTGAAATGAATTCAGATTAAAATCTGTCCTTGTTTCCTTAACTTGACTTAGTAATGGAAAAAGCCTGCTTTAATTAAATTAATAAGCCTGGTTCAATAGTTCAGCAACGGACAACGAACAACGTTACTGCCTCACAATTCAATCAATAAACCCTTATTGATTGCGTTGTGATACTGGGAACAAAGTAACTGAATCAGTCTAGAACAACAGAATTAGTTGGGTTAAAAGTTCAGAACGTGAATGACCACTTACAACTAAAAAGGTTATAGACAATGTATGATCTGAAAGGTCGTTCACTAAGGAAAATTACTGAGCATGCACGCTCTCTCTTTGTGGGCTTAATGGAGAGCAAAGACCGTCCTTGGCAGTCAAAAGCATGCTCTCTCTTTCTCTTCCCTCCCCTCTAAACTTGATAAAAGGTTAAAGCTGTCCTTGACTATCACGCAAGAACACGCGTGACTTGTAGAACATAGGCATAGTTCATTAGACAGACCTCTCTGACGACCTTGAATGAAAATACTGATGATCCCCAGCTTCCAAGATATAAAAGGGCTGTGGGCTGGTGAGCCTCAGTGGGACTTCAAGCTTCAGAGAGTGTTGTGTCTATTTCTTACAGTGCGACTTCAAGCTTCAGAGAGTGTTGTGTCTATTTCTTACAGCGATCCCACCTCTTCGCAGCCGAGCTTATCCCAACAAGATGCAACAAAGGTGTGACCCTTATTCTTAAGAATGCCTAACTTTCTTCCTTCTCGTAACTAGGCACGAGAAGAGGGTTTTGTTAGAAATAACTACTAACAAGCTCAATTTTCCAACAGAGCAAGCAGACTCTTCATTAACAACTAATTGAAAATTTCTAATATAATAGAGGTGGAGAATTCTAACATAATAGTGTTAAATTGCAGCATTATAAAAAATAGCTCTCCAGCAACAGTGTGAGTTTAACAATACTCTTCAATTTTTCATATTCACTCAAACAACAAGGAGAATTGAACTTTACTCCATTGGTTTAACATTAGGATGGCAACAAAGGGATTTGTAATGTTAAAAATGTTCATCGTTTTCACACAAACTTCAACACTCAATCTTTCTAAAATTGAACAGCGTAATGGAAGGCCTTTGTATACAATCCTGCCTTGTATGCTACATATGTTTTATCTGGTTTATATACAAAATCATTATCTATATCTTAGGTTATTGGTGTTGTCTGTAAATGTATATGTATTGCTCTTATGACTAACGACTGTAATCAAGGCAACCAGCTCCTGATAACAATATTATAGCCGTGATTCAAGTTACACTATAACTACGAAACTGTCACGGAATTTAGCAAGACATCCGGGAATATTCTATTGAAAGGCCGAGATTTAAAATTAAAATTCAGAACTAATATGGACTTTTGGCTGGACTAAAAACAAATCCGCAAGAACTGCAAGCATTGTGTAGTAGAAATAAAATCTGAAATTATGTAAAAACAAAAATCCGGAATGTTTTTTTTTTAAATATATATTTCCGAGACTAAATTTTTACTACATTTCCCAAGATAATACAGTATTAAGCGGAGACATGAGAAAAGAGAGAAAAATATTGGATTATATCATAGACTAAAGTTGTATCAAATTCCGAAAAGGACACGGAAATTATGATAAATTGTACAGTAGTCTGGGAAAGATTAAAGATATGGCCAAATATTGTAAATGTATATCCCAGACAAATAATACTAAAACACCCATACGAATACTAATTTAAGCCAAGACTGGGAAACAATTCAATAAATTCACAAAATATGGTCCAGACTCTATGTAATACTGAAATTCCGAAACTGGTAATACTGAAAGGAAATCCCCAAATAAATCTTTAATATTGTAAAAAGAATTTTGCAAACTGTAAATAAAATATACTATTATATAAATTTTATTGTAGAAGTAAAATTATAATTGTTAATGACGATTTACCGATCACTGAAATAAATTTTTTAAAATAATGTAAAAAAAAATGTTTTAAAATTAAAGTTAAATTACAAACCAAAAGTAATAGATTCTGCGATTTGGAAACAAATATTTTAACAAAAGACTTTACTCATTTTAAAATAAAATTTTAAAGAATTAAATTTTAAATTAAGAAAATTGCCCAAATCGTTTTGCAGTATTGAGATCATTTTATTATTTCTAGAGACGTCATTGGTTGCGAGAAAAGCTATTGGTTGGTGTTCAAAGATCTAGGTCAGCAAAATTTCCTGCACTCTAAACTGCAATATCCATGGAGGTTTATTGTTCGAATCTCGATATCTCAAGATACCTCAATTGATCCTCTGATAATATTAGTACATACTAGTGGATGAGTATGTTAAGTTTTTTTTTTTGTAATTTTAATTTGTAAAATGCAAAACCATTAGATAGTGTTAGTAAATGAAAAGTATTGATACCTACAATTGTACATTATAACAAAACAAATCATCTTCTGTACTAATTATTTCACAAAACTAGAAGATTACTGAAATTGAATTACACACACACACACACACACACACACATACACACACATACACACACATACACACATCATGGCGTCCATCTGGCGAACACGAGAGATTTCCGATTTTACAGCTCCCGTCTTACCACGCTTGGTTCGCTCCTTACAGCCCGCCAAAGAACCACCTTATCCTACAGCCTCCCAGGCCTAGAACCTTTGGACCCTCACACGCAGCAACCGGGTTATATAAAATCGCTCGGATTAAATGACTTCCCATGGAAAGTTCAGCTTTAGCTTGATTGTGTTTGTGAAGTGCAGAGATTGCTGACAACACACCTGTCTTGTGACCCTACAGAGAAAATTTTGGGCTATAAATGCCCTGTTGGTGATCAAATCAATGACCAGAGAACTCGAGTTTTCTAACCAGCGGCACTTCGCCCATGTAGTCGTGGGTGATCTGAACTCAGTATTTTAAATTTACCCACAGCTTCAAGAATACACCACAGGGCAGGGCAGGAGAGGGTAGTGCTATAAGCAGGATAACATCCCATGATACCCCGTTCACATAATATACAAAAGTATTATAAATTGTTACAATTTTGCAACAACAAAAAAAAAATCCTCAACATTCAATGATTATTCAGACTCGTAATGTTACATAAGGATACAAGCTTAATTCACAAACCTGCCTATGTCGGATGCCTCGTTGTTTTTTATGTAGCGGTAATTAGCTCCCACATCATCAGCATGATAAAGTCACATGAGTTTTACATGTTTATTAAACCAAACACTTCCAAACAATAATAATTAACAACAATCACGAAATAATCATTTAGTAGTTTGTTGAGTAACCTACCTTCTTTCACTTTATCTGTTGATAGTTTGTAGCTCGGCGTTTTATTCATTCCGTGTTTGTCAGAAGCTGTAAATTCTTAGACAAAGCAGAGGTAGTACAATGTTTGTAACACCAAAATGTCAGAGTTCCTCTTTTGACATCAATATGCATTA